GCAGCTGGCAGCCGGGCCCCCAGTGGGAAAGGAAGGCCTGTGAGGATTGGACCGAGCTCCAAGCCCACATCGCTGCAGAGCCAGGCCCATGAGTGGCTTCCTGGAGTCCATGGCTTCTCGTGTCCACGGCCAGTGACCAGCTGCCAGGGGCCTTCAGGAAACTTTACAGCACTGGCCCTGGGCGGACGGATGGGGGCAAGGCGCCCTCTTGCTGACCATCAACATGGGCTGCACGTTAGACTCGAGTGGAGAGCTTTAAAAACCCAGACGCTCGGACCGACCCCCAACAAGCACGTCAACATCTCTGAGGAAGTCCTGCGCCTGTTTGAAAACTCCCAGGGACTCCAGGATGCAGTCCGGGCTGAGACCCACAAATAATGCACCCCCTGGGCGGACACCCCCGCTTTGATCTTAGCATGGTGTTTGGGGGGCACTCCCCATTCCTGTCTTTGTGCACCTCCCGTCTAGAACCTTGGTGGGGTGGGGTGCACAGACTGCACAACTGGAAATGGTACTGGCACCTCTCCAGCCCAGCTCCCCGTCCACAGCAGCCCCGGGCAAGCCCGTGTCCTCCCTGTCTCCCCTCTCCCTCTCCGGGTCTGGCCTGGTCTGGCCTTGCTGTAGGGCGTCGGCAACCACTGAACCAAATCTTCTTTCTTACATGCAGAGTGGGGAAGCTCGCCGAGTCTCCCAGCCAAGAACCAAGCCTGGTGCCACGAGTTCCCATCCACCCCCAGCCCCACTACCTCAGCACCTCTGGTCTGGGCTCCGCTCAGAGCATCACCCTAAGAGGTTAGATCTGGGGGCCCCCAGAGCAGAGCACTGGACGTGAGCATCACTAGAAGGTGCCAGGCCTCTCCCCGTGGTCTCTGCCAAGTTCCCACAGTCCCCCCCATACAGGGGCGGGTGTGGGCCGGCTGCCTGCTGGGAGCAGCGCTGAACTTTGTCCCGCTCCCCGCTCAGCACCCCTGCCCATCACAGCGTCCTGCGTGGAGGGCACCACTCCTCTACCTTGCCCTTCCTCACTTCGCGTTCTCTTTACTAAGGCACATCCTATGAGAGCCCTCCCAGCGGGTTTGCCTCTGCAGCTGATGCCTTTGGGGGGAGGAGGGCAAGGGGATCTGCTCCAGAGGCTGGGCCTCGGCTGTGCAGCGAAGTGGGAGAAAGTCTGGCACAGGGGCGAGGGCGGGGGGCGGAGGCTCTCAGGAGACCATGGCGCCATGCCATCCCATGCCCACCCCCTCACCCCCAGTCCGGTCTGGGAGACTGGCAGAGCACCGGTCTGGATTACGGGCCCTGTGTGCCAGCAGGCGGCACCCTGTCTGCTCCCCAGCGAGCCCACCTCCACTGCTGAGAAGTCAGAGGGCAGGGTCTTACCTCCCCGTTCAGAAAGCAGTAGAGAACAGCCACCACGAAGCCCTGGGGAGAGAGAGCAAGGACACCTGAGCGTGCCCGCCAGGACCTCCACGCAGGGTGCGCGGGAGGGGGCAGGAGCGACCAGGGAGCAGAATAACACGGTCACTCGGATGGGGCCACCTGCCGCCCGGGAAGCTGGGATGAGAAAGTTCTGCTCCACCAAGACGGCCACAGCCATGGAGCCACCTGGCTGAGGAGGGAGCCCCTCCCATGGACACACCTGGCTTCTGAGCTCACACCTTGGCCAAGTCCTTCCCTTTCCCAAAGGCCAGCTCGATGGATCCCTCTTCCTCCACGAGGCCTCCCCTGAATACCCCAGAATGTCCTCTGGGCTCCCTGGGCAGCCTGCAGGCCCCCCAAGGGCAGACCCAGCATGACAGCCCGGCCCTGTGTTATATGCACCCCTCCCTAGGCCACACGCTCTGCGCACACACCCAATGCACATGCTCTGCGCACACCCAGTGCACATGCTCTGCGCACACACACCCAGTGCACATGCTCTGCGCACACACATCCAGTGCACACGCTCTGCGCACACACCCAATGCACACGCTCTGCGCACACACACCCAGTGCACACGCTCTGCGCACGCACCCAGTGCTCACACTCTGTGCACGCACCCAGTGCACACGCTCTGCGCACACACCCAGACACTGTGAGCGCATGCTTGTGCACAGCAGGGTCCGGTGCCCTGCTGTGCTCTTTACAGAATTCTCTGCCTTCAGATTTCTTGTGCTGAGACAGGACCCAGCCTCTGCCTCCCAAGCTAAGGCTTGGTCTTTCTAGGGGCAGTTTCATCAGCATAAGAATTAGGATGGGGGAGGGAGACACTCAAGGCCATTACACAGAGGACCTTTCAGACCCTCCAAGTCAAATACATGTTTAAACACGCGGGTTCAGGACAGATTCTCTGCTGCAACCTGGGGACACTCGGGGAGCCAGCCCAGCCTGCACGGCCCGCCCGTGCGCCCATCTGCTCAGCTGCTCACGCTGCATTGTCACTCCACCCCCCCACCCCCCGCCCCGTCGCTCACTTGTTTACAACCCACCTTCTTACTCCTTCACAGATGGAGTCCCTAGTGTGTGTGTGTGTGTCTCTCTCCCCCCTCCCCCCTGCCCCCCGTGGGTCATTTATTTATATGCCCACGTGCTCTCCCACCAGTTCTGCTCGCCTGGCGCTCTGTGGCCAGGTCCTGTCCTAGGGCCCTGACTTGGGCAACACAGAGCCCCGGCGCTCACGGGGTGCCGGGTCCACAGACTGGAGTCAGGACGGGGACACAGAGGTCTCTGGAAGCCACGCTGTCGGCACCTGGAGCGCGGATGAGGGATGGGGAGCCACTGTCTTAGAGCTCCTGAGAGGCCGGGCTCAGGGCACCCGGCCACAGTGACAGGAGACACCGGGTCTCACAGAAGCCAGAGTGCAGCAGCAGCAGGGCTCTCCCAGCCCCGGCTAGTCTAGTGCTCTCATGGCAGAGATGGAATCCTGGAGGCCCAGTTCAGGTTAAAGAAGCTTCTAGAACCACCAGCAGGTTAGGGCCAGGGCCCTGGATCCCTGTGAGCTACCCCCCGACTGCACGTACCTGGAAGGAGCCCAGGCCCAGCTCGAACACCAGCCTCTCCCTCTTGCTGACATACTCGGGGGAGAAGGCGAAGATCGTGTAGTGGATCCCAAACAGCGGGATAAGCAGCAGGGTGGACCGCGCCAGCCGCCTGTCGGGAGAGAGGAGGACGTCCGCTCTGGGGGCCACCAGCGCTTGGGCCGGAGCCGTGGAGGGCAGAGAACCCCAGTCCCAGCCCTTTATTCTCCCCAGAGCCCTGTCCATGGACCCTCCTTCAGGGTTCTCCCCATGTACACAGGCCTAGGAGGGGGGGTGGCCGACGGAGCCCGCACCCCAGAGCTCTCTGGGAGGCTCTGGGGGTGGGGGGACAGCCCCCGTCTGCAGGGCTCCTGTCCCTGTAGGCCACATCCTGCAGACCCACTAAACGTGCACATGTGTGTGTGTGATTTACAGACACCCCTCATGGGGAAAGCGAAGGCAGGGCAAATACGAGGGCGGGATGTGGAAGGCCTGAGTGACGACGTGATGGGCCCTCGGCAAAGCCCACAGTCTCCTGCTGCAAAGGGAGCTCCTGGGCCTGAAAGAGACTGGGGCTAGTCATGGAGAGTGACAGGGAGGTGCTGAGGACAGGGAGGGAGGTGGGTGGGGGAGTGGCCACAGGAGAGACTTGGGCGGAAGGACCTACTGACTGTGGGCATGAACAATTCCCATTCAAGCAGGAGAAGCCTGCCACCCGGGAGAGAAAGCTGTCTGCGTGGGGGTAGAGACCTCTTGCCCAGAAGCCAGCAATTCTGGGTTCCTCTGCCTGCCCCTGGCTCCTGGCCCGGTGAGAGGGGCTCTGTTCTGAGGGGTGGGGAACAGAAACTACGTGAGACATCAAGGGTGTGCACAGTGGTGCCCTTCTAGGCTCGGCTCTGTGAAAAGGGGGCTCCCAGAGGGTCTCCAAGCACGGGACCCCATCTCCATCCACCCCAGCATATTGGCTGAGTCAGGAGGCGAGTGGGAGGCTGGGTCCATGCGGGGGGCAGCTGGGCGTGGGAGCTGCCATGGGATTTGGGGCAGTGACAGCGTGCATCCCTTCCTCTTCCCCATCCCAGCTTTTCTGGGGCAGAATGTTCTATGGAGTCTGGGCTCTGGATCTCAGAAGCAAATCCCTGGAGCCAGAATAAGGCCCTTGGTTTCCCAGTGGGAAGGAAGGAGGGAAGGGAAGAAAGAGACGGAGGGAAGGAGAAAAGGAGAACCTGGGGAGATGAAGCCCCTCGAGGGCTGGGCGCCCACCCCTCTCCCCCTGCGGGCAGCCCATTCTGCAAGACCTGGCATCCTCAGACCTGGGCTGGTGCCAGCAGGATCTGAGCAGGCACCCATCTGGGCCCAGGCACGGTGCTGCAGGGTCTATCCCTCCATCGTCTGCTCTCCCTCTCAGGCTGCGGCTCCTGAAGGCAGCTGGTACCTCACTATCCCCACTAGCCTCGGGGCAGCACGTGCCGGCACAGCGCCCACCCCCAGGGCCTGTCCATGGAGGAACAGATGGCCGCACAGCCGGTCTGAAAGCCTTAGTCCTTACACTGACGGTGACCTGGGCACTCAGTCCGCTGCTGGCACCCGGAGCCTGGCACCGAAGACAGCAGGGAGTTTTAGCTAAAGAATGAAAATTTAAACCCAGCTGGTGTGTCTCCGTGGTTGAGCATCAACCTATGAACCAGGAAGTCACGGTTTGATTCCCAGTCAGGGCACATGCCCGGGTTGTAGGCTCAATCCTGAGTGGGGGGCATGCAGGAGGCAGCCGGTCACTAATTCTCTCTCATCATTGATGTTTCTATCTCTCTCTCCCTCTCCCTTCGTCTCTGAAATCAATAAAAAGATACTTAACACAAAAAATGAATTAAAATTTAAAAAGAAGAGGCAAGTGGCCTGGAAATGCAGACATGTGTTCATCTTGGGGGCCCCTCAGTGACGCTCCCTAAAGGGGCTACTTTGCAAGAGCAGCTTAATTGGGGGGCTCAGGAGGGAAGATGCCCTGGGATGTGCCTGTGGTCCCTGCCTTCCTCCCTCCAGCTCTTCTCCCACAAATGGGCCTGTTCCCAGGGACTTCTCCCTGCAGTTTGAAAAGCGCCCTGGACACCACAGGGCCACCCTCTCCAGCCTTAGTGGTGGCGGTGGATGGCCAGGGGTCAGTGTGTGAGACACAGTGACCTTTCGGGCATGGGCTAAGGCCCTGCCCAGCCCCTGGCCAGTGTGGCGACTAGTATCAGGTGCCCGCTGCACAGCCAGGGATAGCATCTTCCCTCTGGCAGCCCTAAGGCTGCCCGGAATCAGCAGGGAGTCTGCTGGGGACCCAGCACATCCCAGGGACCCTCTGGCAGATGGGGAAGTGGAGGCAGGTGGGGAGATCTCTGGGCCCAGAGTTCTGGGGCTTCTGCCCTTCAGAGCTGGCCAGAGGCCTTGGAATGGGGACATATGGTGGGTGTGAGCCTCGCGACGCCCCTCTGAGGACAGTCACAGAATCACCATCTGATCTAATTAACCCAGAGACAGTGACACGGGCCCTTGGCGTCTGTCCCCTGCCCCTAAGGGGCATCCATGGCAGAAAAATACCCAAAACAGCTTCCCACAGTCACTGATGCTCATCCCACTTAAAAGGATGTCCAACGAGGTGGCTGCTCCGGCCAGAGACACCCTGGGGCCAGGTGACAGGACTCCCTGGGTTCAAGTCCTCACCCTTCCAATTATGTGACCTGGAGTGGGTCACTTCATTTCTCTATGCCTCAGTTTTCACATCTGTAAAATGGGGATAAACAAGTACCTCATAAGGTTGTGGTGGGAACTCAGAGAGTGAACACAGACCGGGCACGTGAGTGTAAGTGAGGTCCCTTACTGCAGTGAGAGTCCCTGTCCCGGGTGGGGGAACCAACCCTATGAACTCGAGCTCTAAGACTAGCAGAAATCATTTAGCAGTTCCAAAGACTCGGCCAAGAGAAGTAAGACATTTGGGAAAGACCACACATCAAGGCAGCAGCCAAGCCCCAGCGGCTCCATCCCCACGGCCTCCTTTCCCGGGCCACACCCCCGCCCCCAAGAGTGCAGAGAACTCACAAGACACACAGAGGTCAACATGCAACAGCCAGGGGGGCTCGGGGCTGGGGGCACTGTGCTCTGCTCTCCCCATCCAGTGGCAGGACGCGGGCTCCAGGCGGTGGCGGCATGCGCCCCCCCTCCCCTCCAGGACACGGGCCACAGCCACGCACACTTACAGAGTAATGGTGGACAGTTCTGACATCTTGCAAGAGTGCTGCTGAGCCCGCTCTGGCCTGCAGTAGCATTTCTGCACGCAGCTGCTGGTGCGACAAGATCAGCACTGGTGTCAGCCGGGGCACCGGGCCATGGAGAAACTGAGGTGGGACTTAGAGCCACAGAGTCCACGGGGAGGGAGGGGTGGGCAGAGGAGCCGAGGGTGTGGAGACAGAACCGGGCAGTGACATGGAGAATGAGGAAGCCGAGGGCCAAGACAGGGTCAGCTCAGGACAGGGAAACACACACCCATACATGTACACGTCTGTGCATGGACATGCACACACACATGAGCACTCACACTGGGACCACCGACGTGGGGGTGAGGCTCGAAGAGAACACGTGTTCAGAAGGTGGGGCCTCGGTTGGGTCTCTGAGCCAGAAGCTGTCGCCATGGGCAGCTCTGGGCTCAGGGCGCGGCCTTGTCCGAGGTCACCCAGAGAGCTGAGCAACTGGAAACACCATGGAACTTGAGGTGCCCAGCCCTGGTGGACTGAGCCTGGACCCAGGCAAGCTGTGGGCTCATTACGGAGCCCGACTCAATGGCCACTGTCTCCCCTCTACACCTCTCTTCTTCCACCCAAACCTCCCTGAGCCCCCAGGCACTTCGGGGTGGGCATATGGGGGCACAGAGGTGGCCTGGACAGAACAGACTTAGTCCAGACCCGACCTATCCATGGTGACAGCCACTACCCATCTGTGGCTGAGTTTAAATTAAATCAAATTAAAAAGCCACCTCCTCGCAGGCCCTCGCCACACGGCAAGGACTCGACAGCCACATGTACGAGTGGGTGCCACGGGGTTAGCACAGATCGCGGGCATCCGCCTCTGAGAGTCCCAGCGCACGGCACTGGTCAGGCTCAACCTCCTGAGAGAAGTCTGATGGGCAGGGGTTGAGGCTGAGGGGGCGTCTTTGGGGCACTGTCCCTCTGCCTGCAGAAACAAGTCATCTGCAGGGGCATCTGCGTGTGGGCCCGGGGTCCAGTCTAGCTGGACATGCCAGTGGGCGAGGCCGAGCCTCCCTCTGCAGAGGCTCACGTGGAACGCCCATCTCTTCCAGCCCTTCTCTGCCCTGTGGGTGCTGGGGGTGGCACACTCCCGGACACTTCTCTTCCTTCTCGGACAAACATGTACGTGGGGGATTAAGACTGCAATAGACGCGCCCGCTTCACACACCCTCCTCAGGCACCACGTGGCCAGAGCCCCGGGAACCTGCCCGTGGCTGACGCTCTGCGGGGCCTGATACAGTAAGAGAAATGCAGGAAGGGCTCACAGCTTCGTCATTTGTGAGTCCAGCTCTCTGAGAGCAAGTCTGCGGGTCCTTGGCCTGGGGGAGATGTCATTCTACTGAGGCAAACCTGCGAATCACACATTCCTAAGATGGAGCCAACCGAGGTCCCCCAGCGTCCGTGCCCCAGTGTTGTGGGGGAGGGGTCTCACTTAATCAACAGCATCTCTCAATTCCCACCGTGCTGTGAGGTGGGTGGAACAGCCCATTTTATAGATGAGGATGTGGGACACGATGCTCGGCTATCCAGAGTGGGGTCCCCAAACCAGCAGCAGCCCCCCCAGAGCTCCTTAGAAGCAGAATCTCAGGTGCCACCCAGATCTCGGCTCTGAACAGGCACTTTCACACGATTCCCCGGTGGCCCAAGTCAAGTCCTGCATTGGAGACGGTTCCTCCTGTGTCCTCAATGAACATTAGAGGTCTGCTTCGTATGCACACAGAAACAGATGGGCGCATGTGCGCTGCTGTTCCTCTCATCACATACACACGTAAGTGTAATTGTAAAAGGTTGGTCGGGCTTTCAGGAATGGAAGCCATCCTACTCTTCACGTGTATTTGCTGCCTCCCCCAGGTTGAAAGGGTGGCGACTCTCCCCTAAGGTCAGTGGCCTGGCCCCTCAACCTTGGCCTACGTGTGGCACAGAAACCGGGGTCCTGGAGCGGAGAGCCCAAACCTCGGATGAGCCTCCGACACAGCCGCACGCAGAATTCTAAAGCCTCAGCTGCTCCCCTTTGAGGTCTCTCCTCCTGGCGCTCCCACACGTTCCCCCTTCCTGAGCTGGAGGCCGGAACTCAGCCCCTGGGAGACGTTCGCCTCTGATGGGGAGTGGGGTCCAGGGAGCAATGGGGGGACCTGGCACCGGGGAGGGCTCTCAGAAGGATCTAGGGACAAAGGGAAGGGCTGTTCAACACGAGAGCGCGGCAGGAAGCCAGAGACAGGCGTGAGAAAGACTCAGATTCCCTGCCAGCCACAGCAGCAAGTGCAGGAGGGAAAAGGAATTTAACCACGAGGGAGAGAGAAGCCCAGGCCAACGGACGCACTCAGTTCTGATTTGGATCCGAGGGAAGATAAGAAACTCAGACAAGGGTGCTGGGTGGGGCTGCTTGGTGACCAGCGCCAGCCAGTCTCCGAGGGAGACCCCGTGGCAGGAGGGCAGAGAGCCCGGCTCCCGGCCCAGTCCTGCCAGGCTTTGCTGTCCGTCCACAGGAAGGTCAAAGCCATTTCCAGGTCTGGGCTCTCCCATCTACAACCAGGGATGCAGCACCTGGTTCCTTGGGCCCTGCTTTGGTCTCAGGCCAGACTCCACGATGCTTCAGTACCTTTTGAGGGCGGGACCACCGGGCTGCTGGCCTAGGCAACACCTGACCGGATGCAGCCGAGACGCCTGCAGGGAGACCTCCGTGGGCAGCCCCGTCTGTGCACCTTCATCTTAGTGACCAGTGTGGCACTGGATATGCCCAGCCCGCAGGATGTCGTGGTCTGAACTAGAGGCTCCCCCCTGATGCTAAGATGCTGGGAACCCCCAGAACCCAACCCAGTCCCCAGGGGGGCATTCCACCCCACACTGGTACCACTACCAGAAGCCCCGCTGTGACCTTGGGTGGGGCCATTTTCCTTCTCTGGGCCTGTTTTTCTCTCTGCAAAGTGGGGGCAACCACTCCCTGCTGTCAATCCCTAACAGGCGTTGGGGTGCTCCGAGACAGGGGAGCGGGTGCTTTAGTCGTGGAAGATGGAGCCCATGAGAACCGGGCGCCGTGCGGGGTGCCTGCGTCCCCGACTGGAATCGTCCTGCCTGTACTCCGCCCAGCTCATACAGAGGTGAATGTCATCCTCCTGACCCTGGGTACATGACGGCCCTGCTGAGCCACCCAGGACATCACCGTGTCTGTTCTCTGCTCCTTCCTTTACCTGGGGACCGTGGAGACCCTCTGTGGGGTCCCTGAGGGGGACGCAGATGGGGTTTCCCTCCCCCACACCAGACCCAAGAGGCAGCTCCCGATGCCCATCGTGCCGTGGGAAGCCCCACCGGGGATAAAGCCCTCCTTCAGGGCCTGGCCTGAGCCGCTCAGCGCAATCCTGTCTGCCCTGCAGCCTCCCCCTCCCGCTTCAGAGCCCCTGCTTCTCACAGAGGTAAACGCTGGTCCCAGGGAAAGGCAGGCGAACCCTGACCCCGGGCGGGCGGGCTGAGCCCTAACCCCTGCCCAAGACCAGGGTGAGCCTAAGCACAAGCCGAGCCCCGACCCAGGCCCGCACTCCACGCCCAAGTCCTGACCCTGGATGCTCATTGTATGAGGAGCACCAGGGAGAGAGTGTGGGGGGCTCAGTGCCCCCCCACCCCCGGCCCCCAGGTCCATGAGAGGCTGGGCTGAGAGCGCCGTCTTGGTCTACGGAGGACACACCCTTATCAGCTGAGCCGCTGGCACCAACCTACAGGAAAGGGGGTGAATGCTGGTCTGAGGGCACAGGCAGGGGGTCCTCTCGGGCTTTCTTGGGGACTCCCAGGCTTATATTTGTTCTGGAAACAGAGGAAAAACCAAAAAGCTGTAGGTAGGTCTGAAGGGCTTCTCAGCCCAACACATACTTGGTGGCCCAAGGGGACAGGGACACTACCCTCAAACCCTCTCCCACGGGCCCTGCTCCTTCCAATCCCCCACCGTCTCCCTGCCCACAGCAGGCCCCATGCAGCTCAATGCCCTCCGGTGGGCAGCTTCACACAAGGCTGGAACCCCGGGGCCTCTTCTTCCAGGAAGCCTTGTTGATATACTTGCTTACCACCCTCCTCTGCCTGGGACGTCCCTGAGGCCAGGAATAGGGGTACAGTGGAGCCTGGGGTGCAGGGCCTGCCTGCCTGCAGCGCAGCTATGCCTTCACGCTTTCCCACTGGACTCCCTGCCCTTCACCGATAAGCAGCTCCCTCGGCTGCGACGCGGGGGTTACATGCGCATGCAGACATTTCTGCGCCCATCTCGCCAGACCCTCTGAGGCACCGTCCCCTTCATGACCCCTCACTCCCGCAGCAGGGCCTCCTTGACTCAGACCCTCGCTGAATTGAATAGGATCAAGCTGGCCCTTGGTCCTGCGTGGGTCTTACCCCCCCCACACGCACCCCACACACACACCCGTGTGCAGACCACATCCATCCAAGGGTTTAACCTTTAGGGCTGAAGATGAGCCCATGCTTCGCTTTCTCTATAAAAAGGACTTGCTGAGATTGTGAGGAGACTTTTTACACGAGAGAAGCAAGCCCTTAGCGGGTTCTTTAAACATATATGCTCACATGTACACTTCACAGATGGTGTGGTGTTTTTTTTTTTACAGATTAAAAGGTTTTTTGTTTGCTTGTTTGTTTGTTTGTTTGTTTAATATATTTTTATTGAATTCAGTTGAGCAAGTCTATTGGTACCATTTGCTCACTCCGTTGTCTGTCACATTTTGGTAATTCCTGCAATATTTCAACTTTGTCGTTATCATTGCATTGGTTGTGGTGACCTGTGGTCAGTGACCTTTGATGTGACCATGGTAGTTGTTTCGGAGCCCACACGCCAGGCCCTCAGAAGACAAACAATCGACAGATGTTGAGTGTTCTGACTGCTCCAGCGACTGCCCGTTCCCCAGTCTTTCTCCCTCTCCTCGGGCCCCTGTTCTCTGAGACACAGCAACATGGACGTGTCCTTACTCAGGCTGTGGCTGGGCCTGTGTGTCTCTGCACAGGCAGTGTGAGAGGGCGCGGGGAGAAGCCCAGAGAAGGGGTCCCGGGACCTCAGAAGAAGAGACGGATTCTACCAGGCCCCGGGGCCGGGCGGCCAAAGCTGCCAGAGCCCAAAGGAGCGATGAGGCTGACTCGGCTACACATTGGCATCAGGGATCTGAGATTAGTTCGGTGGGAGCCAATCCACCCTCGAGCAGGAAACTGGGACCAGACACAAGGACACAGATCCTGACACCAGACAGGGAAGGGGGAGGAGAGCAGCAGGGCCGCGCTGGCCAGACCGGGGGACAGGCAGGAATGTCCTCTCTAGGACATTTAGTTCGTTGCAGAGGACAGGCCTGGGAGACTGAATGACATGATGGGTGAATAATTTTTTTACTTCATGACATACACGTATAAGCAGAGGTTGGTAGGAACTTGCAAAAGTATGAAAAAAAAGGAAAAAACAGTAAATGAATAACAAAACAGGAGGGGGTCCTTCCCAATGTAATGGAATCATCCTCTATGCAGACAAACAAAGCTCACCCCACCAGGCCCTGCGCTGGTCCCGATCCCAGGGGACGGGCTCCACAAGGGGTGGTGCCTGGGCTGCACAGACAGACAAGGGAAGCCCCGAGGAGTCTGAGGGAAGGACCTAGGATGGCTCTCTGAGCAGTCTCTGCCTCTCTCTCTCTCTCTCTCTCTCTCTCTCTCTCTCTCTTTCTCTTCAGGAGAATGGTTGGGTCGAGGAGCCCTCTGCTGGGGTCTGCCTGCCGCCCCACTTGTCCACTGGGCAGCTATTAAAATTCTGGGGTCTCTGGTGAAGGCAGGACAAAGCCCCCCACACATGCAATGAGAATACCTCAGCTCCTTCTAACCTGCTCTCCTCTTAAAAAGACAAGGAAGCAACACCTGTGGCTCATCCCCCACCCACGGACAGACCCCAGAGACTGCCCCCAGATTCTCTGTGCCCATCTGGCCCCTCCGGCCACCCATAGGGGACTGGCCTTCGCCCAGCATCAGAAGTGTCTCCACTCCCCACACACCTAGCTGGTCATGGTCATGCTTCTGATCACGAGGCAAGAAGAGTCAGGTAGAAGGTATTCAGTCTGACTCAGGGTGGGTCGAGGGCTGGGACAGGCTGGGACGGGGTGGGACAGGGTGGGCCACAGCAAGCAGGGATACGCTGCTGGGGACACGACTGCAGGAACATTTGTAGGAACAAACCACAAGGCAGTGGAGGTGAATGAAGAAAACCCTACCCTCAATGCTAAGAGGTGGCCTGTGAACCCCATCAGTCCAAAATGTATCAGATGCTCCTTTGCTCAGGGAAGAGGGAGTTCCAGGGGGAGGACCAGACCCCAAAGTACAGCTCCTCTCTGAGGAGAAGAAAAAGACTCCCTCTTCCCATTACCCAGCAGCGAGAACGTCCACATGACCTGCTGGTGGGGCTGAAGCAACTTGCACACAAGGGCCGGGACAGGACCAGCAGGCAGCCAATGGTGCTCATGACCTTCCCAGAGAACCGAGATCCCCAAAGGATCCGACTTCTGAGCAACCAAGACCCTAACTACCCTCGGGAACCTGGCAATTTCCGTCTTGATTTCCTAGGGTGACATGTCATCGGCCAGTCTCCTCCAATCTCCTTTCCCTTCCATGTCATCGCCATGTGATTAGGAGCTGCTGGCTTGGCTGAGGAGAGATGGGCAACTAGATTCCAAAGGCACGTTAATCAGAAAGGAATCTTGCAAAAGCCCATGCTAGGCTACCCTGTCCCCCAAACCCAGGCCTGTCCTCCGGTGGCCTGCGTCAGGGCCCCCTCAGCGGCGGAGGGGACGATGGCGTTCACTCGGTGGAACTTACAAGTAGATGCTGGACTCGTTGCCTCCCATGTCCGGAGACTGAAGTTTCTGCACGAGGATGAAGATGATGCCCACGAAGAGCCCGAAGTTCACCTGAGGAGCAAAGGAAAAGCCGATGAAATGATGCTGGGCAGAGCCTGTCCACACCCCTGCCCTGCATACGCCACTATCCCTCCAACAGGGGCCCCCAGCCCCATCCAGCCAAGATCCCAGCTAGACTCAGAATTCGGAACGGCATTCATTCGGTTGAAATGACAGAAGAGGCAGACACAGAAGAATTCCACAGGAGTACCGAGAAATGGGAAATATATCATTAGTGAGCCAGGAAAGTGAGCAATTTCTGGCAGAGAGAAAGCAGACAGGGTCGAGGTGATGGAATCATTCCGATGCCAGACAGAAAGAGAAGAGGCTGCTGCAGAGGTGAGAGCTGGCCGCTGGGAAAGCCAAGGTCACAGTCACTGAATATGGGGGGCCAGAATGGACAACCACACCCTTTATCCATCCAAGGCCTGGGAATGGTGACAGGAGCATTTACTTGCAGGTACAGATCAGGGCAAAAACTCTCTAATCAAAGTGGGGAGCAATATGTATGGTGAGGAAGGAGCAAGGCAAGCAAATAAATAGAAACGAGGCACCACAAGAGGAATGCACGGCAACATCGGATGCAGCCAAAGCAGCACTCCGAGGAAAACAATAGCCCCACACTTACTAAAAAGTGATAAATGCTGAAGATAAAATAATTAAGCATTCAAATTGAAGGCTAGGGAAAAAGTACCACAAAGGTAACATATACAAGAAAATTAAGAAAGACCAAAATTGATTATTAAAAAAAAAAAGAAAACAGGGGAAAAAGGTAGACCGGGTCAATAAAAATACATTTCCATTTTAGGTGTTGTTTGTTTGTTTTCACAGAGCTGTTGGGATTATACAGCATGCCATGTGAGGGCAGGGTGCTGCTCACCAGGTACTCTACCGCTCTCATCGGCACCTGGAATTTAGCTCAGTAAACACTGCTAACTGCGTAAGTCCATTCAAAGAGGGAAAAAGTAATTAGAAAAACAACAAGACTAAAAGCTTCCCTATCTATCAATAGTAATCTACTAAAACATGTAATGAAAGAATAAATCCAGACTGGCTGGATTTATCTTGTAGGTAAATTACAAAGACAACTGAAAAAACTGTACAAAACGTCTCTATGAGAAAGACTGAATAAATGGAGATTCATGCATGTTCTTGGAGAGAAAGACTCAATATTTTAAGTCTTTATATCAGTTACAGTCATCCCTCCTTCCTCACCCTGAGCGGATGCTTAAGACCGTGGAGAATACCAAACCCTACTTACCCATGTTTTTTCCTATACAAACATATCTGTGATCAAGTTTAATTTACAAATTAGGCATAGCAAGAGATTAGCCATACCTAATAATAAAATAGACCAATTGCAACAATATACTGTAGTGAATGTGGTCTTTTTCTCCCTCAAAATATGATAATCAGTCTGATCACTGACCGAGATGGCTGCTTTGACTAACAGGTGTGTAGCCGATACATTGAGGATACACTGGACAAAGAGATGGTCCATGCTGGGGTAGGACAGCATGACCCAGCGGAAGATTTCTACATGCTACTCATAATAGTGTCCAAATTAAAATTTATGAATTGTGTATTTCTGGAATTTTTCTTTTAGAATTTTTTTTCCAGTCTGGCCAGTGTTGCTCAGCGGTTGAGTGTCAACCTATGAGCCAGGAGGTCACAGTTTGATTCCCAGTCAGGGCACATGCCTCGGTTGCAGGCTCGATCCCCAGTGTGCGACAGGCCGGAGGCAGCTGATCACTGATTCTCTCTCATTATTGATGTTTCTATCTCTCTCTCCCTCTCCCTTCCTCTCTGAAATCAATAAAAATATTTTTTTAAAAAAAAAAAATTGTTTCCATACCACGGTTGACTGTAGATAGCAAAAACTTAGGAAGCAAACCAGTGGATAACTGGGGGAAAGGTGGGACTGCATCTTCCAAATTAGTTTATAAATTCAGTTTAATTCCTATAAAAATTGCAATTGGACTATTTTCTTGCAACTTGCCAAAGGATTTGAAATCACTTGAAAAAGAAAATCTACAAGAAGATTTTGAAAGAAAAAAGAATAAAGAAGGGAAAATTAGCATACCAGATATGAAACCATGCTACAGTGTTATAGTAACTAGCCCAGTGGGGTACTGACCATGGAAGAAGCTAGTAGATTAGTAACATCAAACTGAAAATCTGGAACCAAATAAAATACAGTGAGTGTTTAAGATACAATGACATTTCAACATAATGGAGAAAGGATAATCTATTCAATAGAAATAATTGAGAGACTGGAACATCTATCCACTAGGGGGGAAAAAATAAAATTAGGTATCATTTCAGATCAAGGAAATAAAGTTTCAGCCGGACTAAAGCATGTAATAACCCAATCGACAAAAATGTGACAAAACAATTAAGAAGCATATCTTTCTGTCATAGGTCCGGAGAGTCCTCCGTAAGTAAGAAACAAGGCTCGGAATGTGGAAAGAGGAAGCCTGAGGGTTTGACTGCATAAGAGTTATGCCGTCTTGGAAACACACTTACAACACGTGTACCGAGTGTAGTGTTACTATCCTTCAAACAATAAGACAGACAACAACGGGGCTAGAAAAATAAGCATAAAAAAATAAATAAAAAGGTAATAACCAGAATAAAAACAAATTGTCAACAAATATCTGGGGAAATGCCCTGAGGCACTAGCAACATGGAAAAATGCATATTAAAGCATCGAGCAACCATTACCCCCTGCCCCAAAAGACTGTCCACAGTTATGCACAGAACCCTCTCTACTGGTATCATTTGCAATGAGGAAAAATGGGAGCATATAAATGGCCAACGCTCTCAGGATAGCTACAGCATGTGTACATCCCTGCTGCAGAATACAATGCAGCCATGAGAAGGGAGGAGGCTGGTTTAGGTTTCCTCTCCCGTCCAAGCCGCCACTGACACCTCTTCCCTGCTCCTTGTCCCAAGGGTACTCACCATTATGGAACCAACCACGGGGCCTTTGATCACCCACCACAGAGGAGTGCTGTCATTCATATCCCAGCAGCTGAGAGACAGAGAGAGAGAAGCGAGGTTATGCTCAGGGACAGGGCCCCTGCAGGACCATGTCTCTGGCCCTGGCTGGTGCTTCCCCTGCAGCTCCCTGAGGAGGGGCGGCTGGAAGGAGAGGTCTCAGGTGCCACAGGCCTTCCCTCAGCAGGGATTGCAGCCCCAGAGTCAGGGTCACACAGGGCTCCTGGGCAAGGGCCGTCTTCCCCTTCACACCTAGGCCCCTTGTGGGGCGAGTTTCCCCTGCACTCGTCCTCCTATCCCTGAAAGGAAGCGGATGCTCCGCTCTGGCCCAGGAGCAGAGCAGGGCTCTGAGCCATGCTCCTTCCCACTGCCTTCTGGCTGAGGGTGGCTGGGTGGACCCACCTGTGGGCGCCTCAGGGCGCAGTGGGTGCCCAGCCGGTATCGTCTGCCTGGGGCTGGTAAAGCAGGGTCAGACCCCCATGGAGAACCCACACAGAAAACCAGCCCGGCGCTCAGGCACGCACTCACCCTGTGTTGTCAAAGTAGAGCCTCAGCGCAGCCCATATGGACACACAGATGGTTGGGGACCCTGCAAGAGCAACAGAGGAGCCCCATGGTAACAGGAACGCCAACAGGCCGTGTCCCCCTCAGACCTGGGGCTCCCTGTGGCTATCATCCCCATTCAGACATGGGGTTCTGACCCACACGCACAGCTCCCTCTCAGACCTGGAGATTTGGGGACCCTAACTGTCCCTTATACCCAGAGGTCCATGTCTCCCCCAGACCATGGGCTAGCTCGCCTTACAGAGTATGTCCTCTCAGAGGTGGGCTTTCTGGGGGCAGGAAGAGCAGGCAAGAGTGCATGCAGCAGGTGTGTGGCATTGGGGCAAGGGGGGAGGGGACAGGGAAGTTCCTCCTCTGGTCTGACGCTCCCCCACGGGCACCCACCGAGGACATGCCTGGCCCCGAGGCCACAGCCAGACCTACCCCAGCCAACCATGGTGTACCAGTAGAAGTATCTCCTCTCGGGGAAGAAGGTCTCCACCAGCAGGGTGAAGAGGTACAGGCCCTCGATGAACAGCCAGAAGTAGTTGGACACGACGCAGTAGTGGAAGAAAACCATTATGGCCTTGCACTCCACCTGCCGAGGGGGCCGGAGAGGGAGGGTGATGTGAGCCCCCATCCCCTGCCCCGCCGAGCCCTGAGAACCAGCCCCGGGAGCAGGGAGAATTCCGAGGGCCCTTCAGCTCTGGCCTGCTCAGGTTCACACCCCATGGGTGAGAAACACTCAATATTCCTGGCTGCGAAAAGTTTAAAGTTGTCCATGATTCAGAGTCGAAGCTACCCATGGAGACAACACTGCCCATGTCAGCAAAGGACGGGGTGGGGGTGAGCATTGAGCCCCCTCCCCAGGCTCATTCTCCCCATGTTCCTGCCCCTTCCCAGGTCCCACAGGCTAGGTGAGTAGGCAGGTCCCTATGTGAGGCCCCTTTGTCAAATGAGGGCTTTAGAGATCACAGGGGTAGAGGAGGTACCCCGGGCCCCCCGAAATCTCACAGAGAACGCAGGCTCTAAGTGTGCTTCCAGGCCAAGGCCCTGTGTTCTAGGCAGATTTTGCCCTCCTGCCCCATCCAAACCCATCTTCTCTGCTGACCTGAGGTCTGAGGTCTGGGGAGGTGGTCTAGGAAGATGCCAGCCCACAGGCCTTGGGCTCCATCATGGGCGGGCGGTCACCAGCCCAGGCCAGCCCTCGGTGAGCCTGTGTGCATCCTAGCCAAGTGGGACCCGGCCTTCCCACCTGACCTCCAACTGCTCTGCCGAGTGCACGCAGGTGCCGAGGGCCACCCCATGGCCTCAGGCAGGGGACTCCCTGGCTACCGGTGGCCTGGTGATCTCTCCTGGGTTCCCCTATTGGCTGGGACTGTGTTAACCTGCGGGAAAGCCCCGGACCTCGGACGTCCCGGATGTCCCTGGCCGGGCACTCACGGTGGAGATGAAGCAGTGGTTGTTGTCCTGCTCCTCATACAGGATCCAGTCCTTGATGAAGACAGAGATGGCCCTCAGCATGAAGGACGCAAACAGGTTCATGTGGATGAAGTTGCGGGTGCAATGCAGCTTCCTGCCCAGCGAGGGAGAGGTCTTGAGGCAGGTGACCTCCAGCACAGCAGCAATGCACTTGGGGCTGCTATGGCCCCTGCCCTGACCACCCCGCCCTCCTGCTCTCTAAGTTGTAGGCCCCCATCACCCAGCCCATGACCCCTCTATGTAAACCAGGAAGGCACAAGCGAGGCAAGTAGGCCTCCTCCCTGGACAGGCCAGCTGCCCTCTCGGGTCAGGTTTCCCATCCCTTATCCTGGGAGTGGGGGAAGCCCCGCCCACCAGCTCCAGGGCTGATGTCCATGGGGCATCCATGGGGCGTGGCGAGGGCTCTGCACTGGAGTGGGCACGCTCACTGGGTCACTGCTGGAGATCTTACCGGAAGCGACACAAGATGACCATGGCCGTGGTGAGGGAGACGAGGGACGTGCTGTAGCCAACTGTGTACAGGGCCTTCACCGACATGTAGTAGTAATTCTGGGGCAGGGCACAAGAGGGTGGGGCTCCATGTGGGGTCTGCCGGCCACCAGCCCAGTCTCCCAGTCTCCCCCCTCTGGGCCTGCCCAGCCCCTCCTTCCTCCCTCCTCTTGCTGATCTCACCTCCTCCCTGCTCAGTGCCTCTACCTCTGAGACCTCCCCAAGCCCCTATCCCCCACTGAGTGGCTTCCTCCCCTCTGTAGTGTGTCTGCTCTCATCAGATGCTCCATAAATGCTTGTTGAGCACAGGAGCTCTGAACAATCCAGTCACCCCTTAGCCTGGACAAGGGTCCAGGAAGCCCCCGGCCGGGCCCAGCAATGACCCTCCTACTGCTGGGCCACAGGAAGGCTGGGTAGCACAGTAGCCGGGGAGGTGGGGGCACATGGTGAGCCCTGCAGGAGCTCAGGCAGCAAACCGGCTGCTTCTCGGTCCAGAATGAGTGAATGAGAGTCCTACCCTCTTGAGCACCCGGATACGGTGGGTGCTCATACATGCTGCCTGGGGACCTGAGATGCCTATCGTCCCACCAGGAGTCACAGCCTCTTCTGGGAATACCCTTCCACCCGCCTCCTCAACCCCACCCCCACTGCCTCTGGGCGCCGGGGGGCACACACTCACCTGGTCCCCAGACTCAGATTCATTATATTCATCAAACCCACAAGCATCTAAATAGTGAGGGAAGGTCTCAGACCAGCCGTCCTTCGTGCAGTTCCGGCTCACCACCCTCATGCCTGCGGCGGAAGGAGAACACAGGCACAGAGATGATCTAAGAGGCCCTGAAATTCTATTCAAAAGTCACTCCATACTTGGGGTTCCTGGGGAGCATGGCCACTCAGGTTCCTGAAATCCTCCACTGTCTGCCCGGAAATAGTGACTGTTGATGACCTCAGGCTGGGCCTTTACAAAGGGCATGGGGGTCGGGGGAGGTGCAAGCTGCTCTCTTAACAAGGGGAGAGGGGACTGGCCCAGCGGGAAGACAGGCCTCCACGGTGCCTGGGACTCTGAGTCCTGTGACCCAGGGCAGTCCACAGGCCCAGGGAGAGAATCGCTTCCGCTCATAACTCCAGGACAACTGCTCCTGCTCCAGCAAACCCAGCTCAGCTGCTACTGGCAGGCTCCTCCCAAGCCCCCGTGACCACCTCTTCAGAGAGTCCGGGTGTCCCTGGGACCGTGGTCTTGGCCACATTCCTCCCCTGCCTGGGCCTCATCGCCTCTCCACTTTGTCCACGTCAGGGTGGTGGGAAGAAAAAAGGGAAGTTGCTCCAAAATAACAATGTTTTAAAAAGTGTCCTGGAGGTATATGCTCTTTCCTTCCTCTTATTCTCCTTCTTTACGTTTCCTTTTAATAACACGGTGTGGGCCCAGGACAGCAGAAGCCTCTCTGTTCTGAAGTCTGCCATGAACTGGCCACCCATTGTTACACTGTCCTCCAGACGGTCAGCACCGCAGTGACAGCCCCGGTGACTGCACCGGCTCTCTCCCCCGAGTGATTCCACGGAGCACAGGACCTCGGGGGCCGGCTTCTCCAAGTGGGCGCCTCCCCAGACCAGCCCATCAGCATCACCTGGGAGACTGCCTGGACCTGCACCTTCTCAGGCCCCACCCAGGCCCACGGGATGAGTGACTCTGGGCGGGGGCCAGGAATCTGGATTTCCACCAGCCCCCTGGGGGGTCACAGCCACCGTGAAAGTGTGAGAAACACCATTCTACACAGGGGAGTTCCCAGCTGTCAGGGGCCACCTAATCCAGGAGGTTTTTATTTGGAGTCCACGATGGGGCTTCGAGAGATCTGTGTTCCCCTAACATTGTAGGCACGGCGTTCTGTCTGGGCACTTGAGGACCAATTTCCACGCAGAAGACCCACAGCTTCTCAGAGAGGGAAAAGGACCTGCCAGAGGCCACACAGCCACAGAGAGGCAGAGCCAGGCCTGCTAGAGGGGTCCCCCTGCTCGCACGTCAGCAGATGCCCCTCTTCTAGCCCCACCTCCCAACGTACCTGAGAGGTCCAAGGACTTAATGTCTTCAAAACCAAGCTCTCCTGCAAAACAGAGACATGGGCCTGAGTCAGAACACCCGGCCATCAGCTTGCCAGGGCTGCCCACTGCCGGCCCCCAACGAGGGAAGGCCAAGCTCCCCTGGTCTGGAGAACAAGGGGTGGGGTCTCAGCCAGGAGGCAGCCCAGCACTGCACCCACACCTTCCTGATACACTGCACATCCCATCGGCAATCCATTGGCTTTGTATTTCTACGTTCTAATGATGCTGATGACTCAGTTCTCCTCCCTGGACCACAGGAAGTGGAAATGGGACATTGTCAGGACGGTGAGAGGGCCTCCCCCAGAGTGGGAGAGGAAGGAAAAGGGATGGTTGGGCCTTTTCAAGGACAAGGCAAGGAACAGCCACACAAGATCTGGGCTTGGCCCCCCCTCCTCTTTGGTGCTCACCCCTCCAAACCGCTCTCATCAAAGGGAACCCAGAACTTCAAAGGCTTTATCCTCAGACCTTTTTCTCTTCCTCTCCCGACTCTTTCTTCCCACCTCCACCCATGCTGACGCCCCTACTAGCAATGAGTCTCCATTTCCCCTCTACTTCTCTAAATCCTGTTCCCAAAGTCCAGCTGACATGCCACCTCCTCCAGGAAGTGTCCCTGCACCTCTACATTGTTCTGCCCGCATGCAGCATCCTAAGGTCTTTTTTGTTCTGGAGCTTGCTGTACATTCCAACTCTGCAGCCACTGGGGATGTCAGTATCTGTGTGGGCTCACGCATACATTCAGGCCGGCACATATGCGTGTGGTGGGCTTGTTAACCCCTCCATGATTGAGTCTCATCCCCCCCCAAACAAGCCCATGAGCACCCTGAGGCCAAGGGCTGCATCTTCCATCTTCCTGTGTCTCCCCCGCCCCAACCCACCTCGAGGATGGCCAAGGGAGAAAGGAGGAGGGGGGAGAACCTGGCCCCTGATAAGCCTCTCATTCCAGCCCCACCCGTTCCCAGCAGTCAGAGCTGGGCTCCAGCTGGATGGACAGATGGATAGATTATCAAGCTGGGTGGACAGATGGACAGATGAGCAGCAGTCTGTCCTCTCCGGGGTTCCTCTTACCGATGGTTTCTGTCTCCCAGACTGAAACAGAGAAAGGGAGAGAACGCAGAGGTGAGCAAGGGCTGAAGTGGGGTCTGCTCTCACTGGGCCCCAATTCCTCCCCCTCCTCTTCCCCACCTCACCCCCAAACGCTGGAGGGAGGGTGTGCTGGAGACCAGAGCCATGAGGACTA